CATCAGCTTCCACAATTCTTCTAGCAGCTGCTACGGACAGGGAAGCGGCTAACTCTGCTGTTGTTTCTGTCAGCACCCCCTAACCAAATAAGCAAAAAAAATTTACTCACCATTTAAATGTTCCACAAAGACACTAAAACCAACTAATTGCAACTATATTCTTTCATACAAATTACACATAACAAAAGAATAACATATTATACTAAATCACGACGAGGCAAATGATCTTACAGGAGTGTTACCAACTGCAACACCGTACTTGTTGGCAGCATTAACATCGACATTGTTATACCCAACAGCCATGTTACTGAATGCCTTGCCACCTGCTCGGCTTAATGCCGCAAACAAAGTCTCTCCCCAATCTTCAGTTAACTGAAACCCAAATCACAAAACTACCTTAAAAAAACAACCTTTATCTCAAAACCAGAAACCCACGTCGATTTAAGGGGAAAATCACCAACCTGTCCAATCACTCCATCACAGTTATCACCGATTAAAGCAATGATATCCTCAACAGACAGTATCGTTTTCTTTTGGGTACATATCTAAACAAGAAAATGAACAGAAAAACCATTAACTTTACATGGTTTTGAACGAAAGAAAGGTTAAAGAAAGATGATCATTACTTCGACACGACAATCCTGCTTGATCAAGAGGTTAATCCAGCGAGTTCCAGGCATGGGTTTCGTGCTAACGACTCTGTATTTCCCATTTGGATTCCATACTTCAATCTGTACTGGTTTCGCCATTGAAGCTCTGCCACTTGCTCCAGAACAGAGTGTGTTCGCTACACAAAAAGCAGAGCCTTTTAAAATGCAGGCAGTAATGTCTTCCCAAAATATAATGGACAATGTGTTGTCTAAAACACAGTATTAAATTGGTCTTCCCAATCAAGATTTTCACACCAAGCGATCAGTTCAGTTTGAACCGCCGATCTGATTGATTCATCAGCGGTACATGATAATAGCGTGGTAGAATGGACCATTCGATTATTACCTTCCAGATAGCCTACTTTCGTTTAGGGGCTGAGATGAGTTTGAGTGGTTTTTTCTTTTCTTCATTCTTTTTTTTTTTTTGGACAGATAACGGTGACATGGCGTCTTTAATGTACACCGAAAGCACTTCTATCATTTTAATGAAATGACAAAATTAACCCTCCCATCCGTGGTGTCCATGGTCAATAGAAGCTCATTGGTTATTCTTCATGGTCCTTAAATTTGAAATTTAATGAGGGTTTTAATAAAAATGTAATTAATGTATTTTTTAATCATTAAAGGGTGGTGTTATATAGATAACTTTTTTATACCATTTTTTTATACAACTTTCACATGTCATTAAATGAGTGGATATATTTAATATTACAAGTTTCACATAAATTAAAAAAATCAATAATTTAAATGACACATCAAATTGTATAAAAAGGTGAGATAAAAAATTATATAAAAATCATTTCCTATCATTAAATTACATAACAATAATAAATTTTGATTTTAATTTTACTAAATAATTAATTAAATTAATATACATAGTATTTATTTTAAATCTAATA